TAGACCAATTTTTCGGTCAGAAGTCTGAAAAATATTCCCGAAAACGGACTTGAAATGTTAAACATTCACCATCCGCACATTCAGTACAATTATTACAGTGTATGCCTTAACGACGTTCGATCCTGGTATTTAAAGTCTTAAACTTTTTTTGCCAAGTATATTTTTAGTTTCTACATACATAGCTTAATTAAAATTCAAATCAAAAAATGGGGGTCAATATGCTTCTTTTGGCGCTACAGTACATTTAATATGACCTTTTTGCACTGAAATTAATGCCTAATTAAAAATTACATCTTCCACGTTTTCCCCCCAATATTTTTATCCAATTAAAGCAAGAAACAAAATGGACTCTAAGTCTATTTAAAAAAAAGACACTTTAAAATTGTGACTAAGAAAAAGTTTCAAACTGCTTCGCATAATCAATTATTTGACCTTTCTGCACTAATAAAAAGAGTTTTTTCTGGAATTGAAAATTTAATAAACGAGAAAATTATTTTAAAGTCTTAAACTTTTTCTGATTTTAAGCAAATAGGTCAAAGTTATTTTGAATATTTAGAAAAGAACATCAAAAGTGGAGGTATATGATGTAAATTTTCAGATATAATTAAAAAGGTGTCAATTTTACGTTAAAATTTACAAAATTTTTTCCCGGATTTTCAGAATATATTTACTATATTTGTCACACTTTGTTGATAGAAGTCAGGAAAAAATAATTCAATAGATATTTCAGAACAAGCAAAACACATTTCACTGCAAAAAACAGCTTTGCGTGCAACCAGCATGAAAAAATAGGAATCCAAAATTAATAGTACTGTTTTATTTCAAAAGGGGTAAAACTTATCATTTTCGTCTGAAAAACCTTCCGCCACAAAATATAGTCCCTAGCTTAATTCTACCTGAATAGAATTTAATCGCAGTTTTTTCATTGAATATAGTTCAATTTGCATTGTAGAATTCAGATTTGATGTTAGAATTTTAAAATAATGCAAAATTTTATAAATAAAGGACATGACCAAAATCCACTCAAAATCGCAGGATCGAACGTCCTTAATTACTGAGCCGGAACACCTCCAACATAAAATTAGAATAATATAATTTCAATAAAGTTATCAGATATGTACTCACTTTTATCCAATGAACTTTTGTGTTCTTCTAAGTAGCCATAAAAGATGCGTAATAGATTGTTTACCAATTTTAAATAGTGGCAATACTTTTGTGAGGGCCACAGTTTCTCAAAAATAGGATAGATATCCTCCAAAAACCCTCCTCCAAAGGTCTTATTGATCTCATCAACTCTCTGAATAAAACTCTCTATTTCTTCGTCTGTTCTACAATAACATGTTTTATTTCATAAAACCTTGACTTTATCGATAGCGAAAACAATACTCAGTAAGAATGTTAGTTATGATAGAAAATGAAAATGTGACGTGTAAGTATCAACTGATCTAGAAAAGAGGAAATAAAATATATATTTTAAATCTATAATATCGTCAGTTTTGACTATATATGGAAGCATGTCATTTACAGGTCATTTACAGTAAAGGTATACAATAATCACATTATTAATTTCTGAAACTTAATAAGAAACGAAAATAATTCATTTAAATGCTATTTATGTTCATAAATAATTTTATGCCCATTTCTTGTGTATTGAAAGTGGGACAAGCGAGATAACTCTAATACTTTTGTTCGGTCTTGTTTTTGGAACAGCCTCAGTATATGATTGAGTACAATCAGTGGCAGCGCCATATTTGTATGGAAATACAATTTTATTTTTGAACAAGCAAGTTGGCTTACAGCGTGTCCAGTGCACAGTTAATACATTTGATGGACTTCTCGTGGTGTGATCTTTTGGATTTCCAAGGAATTCAGCACATTTGTAAGTGTTAAAAGACGAGACTTGAAATTCGGTCCTGGCACACGTGGAAGGCCTACGTGCGTTCCGATTTTTCATCATTCGTAACCTGTGTTGTCCCAACGATCATTGTTTTGTACTGTGTTCTTCCTTCATCAAGATGTCTGTATTAATATTTGGTGACTCACACATTCGACGCTTATATCATTATGCGAGGAATCAGAGACAATTTTGAAACAATTATATTTAATGTACAAAATGTAGCGATCTCGGTCATTGGGATTAGTGGGGACAGAATAGGTCGAAGTATGGACATTAGAGTGCTAGAAGAGGAGATTCAAAGGAACCGACAACAGAAGCTAACTTTATATATTGCGGGAAACGATATCGATCAGCCGCAGGCTGATGAGGATTCGGTTAGGGAGATTGTGTCAAAAATAATGGCAACATGTGACTTGTTTTTAAACCGGTATCATTTAAATAAGATATATGTGTGTCAGTCGTTACCAAGATATTCCACCAGACACTGCCGAGTTGTTTTAACGTTATATAATAAGTAAATAGTCTTGGCAAATCAACTTTTAAAAGAAGAAGTTAAAAACAGAAGGCAGGTTGTGTACTGGAAGTTAAAGGGCTTAAAGAACTCTGTGGTGAATAACTTTTGTGATTAGGGCAATCAGGGGTGCTGTGATACATAGTACAAGTGATAGCTAGATAAATAGTTTGTATGTCATTTAGCCATATAACAATTATGGTTAATTTGCATCTTAAGTTTATGAAACAGGCAATACATCTATATGTACCTTAGCCTTAGTACCCTAGTGACTTAGAACATCTTACAAAACGGGTATTAATGATTTAAAAAAAAAAAAAAGCTTATTATGCATATATGACACAATGTTATACTTTCAGCAGTTTTCTGTTTAATCACATATTAGATGCATTGTAGAGAGCCAGTCCAAGAGTGGGAAATACAGAAAGGGACCCTTGTGATCAAGCATTTATTTTTACTTAGAACAGTAAGTCTGGAAACTTTTTCTACTGCATGAGTTGCAGAAGAGCCTGTGATAATTTGCCACATGTTCAAGTATGAGTGGTAATTTTGCCACATTACTGAACAATTAGTGGTATTTTAATGTATTACAGTTACTGAATCTTGATAATTTTATCAAGTTACAAATGCGATAATTCTATCGCTCTGCTTTAAAATAAGTGATAATTTTATCACGTCTTGATCAGTGCTGAATCTTGATAATTCTATCAAGTTATAAATGCGATAATTCTATTGCAATTAGTGATAATTTTATCACGTCTTCAATAGTGCTGAATCTTGATAATTCTATCAAGTTACAAATGCGATAATTCTATCGCTATGCTTTACAATTAGTGATAATTTTATCACGTCTTGATCAGTGCTGAATCTTGATAATTCTATCAAGTTATAAATGCGATAACTCTATCGCAATTAGTGATAATTTTATCACGTCTTCAATAGTGCTGAATCTTGATAATTCTATCAAGTTACAAATGCGATAATTCTATCGCTATGCTTTACAATTAGTGATAATTTTATCACGTCTTGATCAGTGCTGAATCTTGATAATTCTATCAAGTTATAAATGCGATAATTCTATCGCTATGCTTCACTAGGGATAGTGAATTAATTAGTGATATTGCAATGGTTTCTTGATACATTGTGTAGCTATATTTCACTAGTGCACTGTAATTATACAGATTGTTTTAAGATTTAAACAATAATTGGTATAAAGAACTACCCTAGAGTCAGGTCTAATGGGTAATTTTATCCTATTGCCTGATATGGACTAATATTTGGATGAGTAAATCAACAATAATTTTGCCACATTAATCAAAAGCTGATAATTTTATCAGTCATAGATAGGTTGAATTCTTGACAAGATTTGTATAAATTAGGCATACATGCTAACATCCATTTACAGAGATGAGTACCGGTAATAGGCCTACAGACTATGGGGTGGTTACAAAGCCAGTTAATTTACAACAAGAGGAAGTCGCAAGTGACACTCCAACAAGCAACAATCATTCAAGCCAATTAGAAGATGGCAATTTTACCAAGTAATTCAGGTACTAATTAACAAACAGCATCTAAGGAGTTATCGCTTAGCGCAGGGGTTAAGAATCCCAGTATCATTAAGCCATTGGGTCTCGGTGTAGATTCTAAGATAAAAAGCAAAATCTGGGGAAATGAATTTGTTGATTTGGAAATTTGTTAGGAATCAAAAATAAGAATAATTATAAAGGCTTTGAAATCAGTGAAATCTTAGAAGGGGAGTGTGAAATAAAGCCCAAAAAGCAAACATTAAATTCAGAAATCCATAGTGAGGCATTGGCTATCAGTTTGGGTAAATCCAAAGTAGGTCTAAATTCTGGGTTTCTGGTATTCATAATCAATTCAAATCTGTTCAATATCAGGAGGTAGAAGATGCAGTAGGTTGAATGCGCATATATGAGAAAAATTGCGGGTTGTTTAAATTGGATATTCAGAATGCATATAAAATTGTTCCAATACATTGTTCAGATTGGGAATTGTTGGGTTTTACTTTAGAAAATGAATACTATTTTGACAAAACTCTCCCTATGTGACTTAATTTTTCTTGTCAGTTATTTGAAGAATTCAGTACTGCAGTACATTGGGTATGTGAAAACAAGTTAGGCTTACATGGGAGACTAGTTCATGTTTTTGTTCAAGGATATTGGTATTCCAATTAAGGAGTTAAAAACTGTCCTTCCCTGTGCTTCGCTTATATGTTTGGGTATTGAGTTGGATTCTATTTTGATGGAGTCATGTTTAGCACAAGACAAGTTAACTAAAGCTAGACACCTAATACAAATTCACAAGTCTAAAAAATCTATAACATTACTAGAGTTACAGTCTGTAATAGGTCTGTTAAACTTCGCCTGTTCAGTGGTCATTCCAGGACGCCCATTTCCTAGGCGGCTAATTGATCTGTTAATTGAGTTAACTCAACCTTTTCATCATAGGAGATTGAATAAGGAAGCTCGAGCGGATTTAAATGCTTGGGGATTGTTTTTGGAGCATTTCAATGGCAAGTCACTGTTTTCATCAGAGCAATGGGACAATTCTGACTCATTACAATTGTATATGGATACAAGTAACATTGGTTTCTGTGGTTATTTACGAAATCAGTATTTTAGTGGTATATGGCCTAAAACCTGGAAAACCTATCATATTACAATAAAAGGAGTTATTTCCCAGTGTACTTGCAGTTCAGCTTTGGGCAGATCAGTTTGAAAATTGATGTGTTATTATTAAAATTTTTTTCACGGATAATGATGCTGTTGTGCACATCATCAACAAACAAACCTAAAGTAAAGACAAATGGTTCTTGTTTGTCGTTTAGTAGTGCAATATTTTAAACACAATATTTTATTTCAAGGAAGACATGTATCGGGTTTAGATAATGTTTTAGCTGATCATCTTTCTCGCCAGCAGATTCCACAGTCCCTACAAAAAATTTCCTACAACAACCCTGTAGCATGCCATAACAACGAGGACAATCTCAAAGTTTAGAATCAATAGCTTCAGATCTAATAAATCAGTCATTAGCAGCATCAACTCATAATACTTATCAAAGGGCAATTGAATATTGCCATTGTTTGGTGTCATCATTTTGCTTTGCCAAGGAAAGGTGTACCAGCAAAAGCAGAAGCTTAAGATATCATTTTGTTTATAGCTTATTGTTACTGGCAACCTATGTTTCAGCATTAAGTATTCAACATAAGATAAGGAATATGAAAGGCCCAACTTTTAGTGAAAAAATGTTTACAAGGTTACAAGAATAAGACAAGCTTAGTTGACCCTAGGTTACCTATAACACCAATCATTCTTAAACAGCTGATAGCTTCTTTACAATATACAACGAGTTTATATTTTGTACAGGTACTTATGAAAAGTGTGTATTTAGTGGCATTTCACTGTTTTCTTAGGATTGTAATTTACAGCTTCAAAAGACAGAAATTGTCATTTATTGACAATACAATCTGTACATTTTTTAGAAAATACTTCAGACTGCCCAGTAGGGTTGGAGTTGACTATGAAAACTTTCAAACATGGTAAAGGTCAATCTTACACTGTGCATGTGAAAAATGACAGCAAAGATAACACAATATGTCCTGTTCAGGCCCTATGGACATATTTTCAATTACGAAAACCAACTTCTGGTCCTCTTTTTACTTTCATGGATGGGTCACCGGTGTCACGGAAATATTGTACAGATCAGTTATGTTTGCCATTAAATTGGTGTGGGTTAGATTGTAAATGATATAAAGGTCACAGCTTTAGAATCAGAGCAGCAACAACGGCTTTTTCCAGTGGAGTTCTAGAGCAAAAAATTAAATCAATGGGGCGGTGGTTATTAGACGCTTTCAAAAAGTACATTCGAATCCCCTTTGTAAACCTTTGACTGCTCACGAGGTGAGGTTGAGGTAAAGAGTTATGACCATGGTGACAAGAGCATCTGGTCAGATTATAATTCATGACATTTCAAATCTACTTTGAGTTGAGTTCCTATAAGATAGTGAGTAATTTGTTAACTTTTTTGGTTGATTGCAATCAAGTGTTTTAATTACTGGTGTCACAAAATTATACCCAATCATGGTGACAAGAGCATCTGGTCAGATTATAATTCATGACATTTCAAATCTACTTTGAGTTGAGTTCCTATAAAATAGTGAGTAATTTATTTGGTTGATGTCAATCAAGTGTGTTAATTACTGGTGTCACAAATTATACCCAATCATGGTGACAAGAGCATCTGATTGTAAAATAAATATCAAACCAGTAATAGAGAATATGAGGGTTTGGACAATTGTCAAAATATGTGAACAAGTGTGACACATTATCTGTTTCAGGAAAGAGGACATTGGCTTAGAAAAACAGTTTCAACCATGATGACAGGAGCATCTGGTTGTATCAAGTAGTAAAGTTTTGATGTAATTATGCATCTATAAGTGTGACACATTATCTGTTTCAGGAAAGAGGACATTGGCTTAGAAAAACATTTTCAACCATGATGACAGGAGCATCTGGTTGTATCAAGAAGTAGTAAAGTTTTGACGTAATTATGCATCTAACAAAGTGTGTGTACAATGCATAATAATATGGTATTGTTTACAAGAGTTGAAATACTTTCTTTGTATGTAATGTGTTATTTTTCATTGTTTGTATCCGGTTTGTATGAATTTTAGGGATACTTCTATTGTAGTAAGATTAAGACTCGCACTAGGGTTGGGTGGGGATTACTGCTGATGACAGTTCAGATCTGCCTGTCATTGGCAGTAAGTGGCATTTTTACCTTACCCCACCTTTGATGTAAAAATTTTATACAGTAATGTTTTGATCTATTTCGAAGTTGCATGTAGTGATATTGGTATCACTGCAAGGTTTATAAATGTAAATCTATCAAACTACATTTTCATTTTTGTAATAGTTTTACAAAATTGTCATTTGGTAATAAATGACCTTTTTCAACTTCAAACGGTGTTGTGTTGGTATCAGATAGTATAATATTACATCAAACAGAGCAACCTTTAGTGCGAGTATCAGGAAGATGGGCATAAATGCTATTTATGTTCATAAATAATTTTATGCCCATTTCTTGTGTATTGAAAGTGGGACAAGCCAGATAACTCTAATACTTTTGTTCGGTCTTGTTTTTGGAACAGCCTCAGTATATGATTGAGTACAATCAGTGGCAGCGCCATATTTGTATGGAAATACAAATTTATTTTTGAACAACCCTCCCACCTCTCCCTAATAGTTAAAAAATTATAGTGTTCTTAATTGATGTGAATAATTTGACAATATTTTTCCATATTTCTTTTTTCAGTAGGTAAGGCATTTTTACCTTACCCCACCTTTGATGTAAAAATTTTATACAGTAATGTTTTGATCTATTTCGAAGTTGCATGTAGTGATATTGGTATCACTGCAAGGTTTATAAATGTAAATCTATCAAACTACATTTTCATTTTTGTAATAGTTTTACAAAATTGTCATTTGGTAATAAATGACCTTTTTCAACTTCAAACGGTGTTGTGTTGGTATCAGATAGTATAATATTACATCAAACAGAGCAACCTTTAGTGCGAGTATCAGGAAGATGGGCATAAAAACGGTTATCTAAAATTAGATATGGTTATTTCATTTTAGACATAGTGTGTTAGATACATATAAAATAAATGCATTGTTGTAGAACCTTTAAGAGTAGAAACTCATCATTTCAAATATTTTTGTCTTAATATTTCTTCACTTTACGGACTAAATAAAGTGTATGCTGTATTTTTCTGATAGTACAATAGGCGAAAAATAGTACATTTTAACAAATTATTCATACAACCGACACGCACCAACCGTAAAGTAGATAATCAAATTTAAAATGAGATGTTTTCCTACCCCAAGCTTAAGAAATAAATTGCTTTTAAAGAGCTAAAACAAACCTCAAAACTTACCTCTGTCCAAAGCATAGAGTAAAAAGAATATGGAACTGAATCTTGTTCAAGTATTCTTTCGGTGTTATGGGTTTATTTTCGGCTGACATTCTCTCCATAAACTTAATCATATTCTTCTCAATTATTTCATCCATAACCTTGCTCTTTAAAAAGTTTCTGGAAAGGAAAACTTCATTAAAATATCTCACAAACAATATTTCTTAAATATACAATATGAAATAGGTTTCAGAAAAAAAATCTTTTTTGCATTCTATGGAAAAGTACACATATAACTAGTTTGAATATGAAGAAGGATGCCTTAATACGACACTGGCCACTTTACGGTTTATCTTCAAGGGTTCAGAGTATGGAGGAAATGAGATTCCACTGCCCTCTGAGAAGACCTCCACTGAAAATAAAATGACATATATGGAGATATAGAAATAGAAATAGTCCATTATACAATGCTTACATTGCAGCAGAGCAAACGAGAACCTCTAAAGCATCAAAGGTTAGCTACAAGGATTAGGGATCAGGCAAAACATTGATTCATTTTTAGGGAAGAAAATTATAACAAGCTGCAATACCAAAAGATTTTTTTCTACTTGATCTCTATTGCTTTTATATTTTTTACAATGAAATCTTTTGTAAGCATAAAAAGTTGTTTTCAATAGAATACATTTTCTATTTTTGATTGCGCCATTTCAGAAAGTCTGTTCAAACTACGTGCATTTTGAAATAAAATCGACATATTTAATCGGCAATGTTAAAATATTCGAGTATGTAATTGATTAATAATTGCTGTTGAACATTTTTTTTTATTGGGGAGTTTGCTTAAAGTTGAAAGGTTGATGTTGTATAAACCTGATACTAAGCAAATGTAAGCACATTTCTGAAAAAATATCAAAATTAAATATTTTACGTGATCGCAAGGATGGTCTTCCCGCGAAATCTGTCTTTCTTTTAACAAGCGCCTCCATAGCTGTGTCATAGTCATTAATGAAAACAAACGTCTTCGGACCTGTGGATTTCAAAAAAAAAGCAATGTATTTCCATCATTCATGAATTTTAATAATTACACTTATATTGCTCTACTAGGCCATATTTCAAAAGAGACACAGCCCTCTCCCGGCCGATTGCAGATTGCTTAAAAATGTCCAAAACTTTTCTCAACAGACTGGAAACAAATATTCTAATGCATTTCGAAAACAGAAACAAAGATTCACATTAAGTATTAAAAATTTCTAGGGAATTTTTTCCACCTACCTAACAAACGGACTTTTTTCAATCTGAGTCGAGAGATTGCAAGCAAACATTTAAGCATTGAATTCATATTTTTGGCTGTCTTCGGTCCTATAACACACCTGGCCGTGCCGACAAATTGAATACCGCGCGTTAGCGCGGTATGATAAATTTGTCGGCACGGCCAGGTGTGTTATAGGACCGAAGACAGCCAAAAATATGAATTCAATGCTTATATTTACATTCTCTAATTTTCCTTCTTCATTATTGCTTATTTCGTTAACATTTAATGTGAATTTAGCGCCCTTCAAAACTATCGTGGTTAATAGACGTAAGAGCCGTTTGTGACGTCAGATGACGTTAAGTGACGTTACAAAGTTAAATTACGCAAACAAACATTGCGATTAAAAAAGTGACAAATTAATTCTTAACGCACATTACGTTAATTTCGACGTTAATTTTTCAGGGTTGTAGTTTTTCATTAAATTGAAATAAAACATTTTACATTTTGGTGTTTCTAGAGCATTGAAAATGCATATAGTTCCTACTGTGTATTCTTACGCACGGTGACAAGGTTTCGCGTGTGTTATAGAAATTTGAACGTCGTGGATTTCTAATGGATTTGATAAGGAAAATTATACTGAATGTAAATATATGTTTTTAAGTTGGGCTTCAGGTTGAAATTATTTTTAATCCATTAAAATTAAAGTTTAATGGAAAAATTGAACAAGTTAAGTTTAAAATACTGGGTTTAGTAAAAAACATTTTATATACTTTCTTTTAAACTTTAATTATAAAGATATATGTCTAAATGGTTCTTTTGTATTCCGTTATATTGCCTAATACAAGCTAAACTGAAAGTACCTTTAACTTAATTTAATTAAGCATTGAATTCATATTTTTGGCTGTCTTCGGTCCTATAACACACCTGGCCGTGCCGACAAATTGAATACCGCGCGTTAGCGCGTTATGATAAATTTGTCGGCACGGCCAGGTGTGTTATAGGACCGAAGACAGCCAAAAATATGAATTCAATGCTTATATTTACATTCTCTAATTTTCCTTCTTCATAATTGCTTATTTTGTTTACATTTAATGTGAATTTAGCGCCCTTCAAAACTAACTTGGTTAATAGACGTAAGAGCCGTTTGTGACGTCAGATGACGTTAAGTGACGTTGCAAAGTTAATTTACGCAAACAAACAATGCGATTAAAAAAGTGACAAATTAATTTTTAACGCACATTACATTAATTTCTAAGTTAATTTTTCAGGGTTTAGTTTTTCATTAAATTGAAATAAAACATTTTACATTTTGGTGTTTCTAAAGTATTGAAATTGCATATAGTTCCCACTGTATATTCTAACGCGCGGTGACAAGGTTTCGCGTGTGTTATAGAAATTTGAACGTCGTGGATTTCTAATAGATTTGATAAGGAAAATTACACTGAATGTAAATATTTACTTAATATAATATCTAATGCGGAATGGTGCCTTATCCAGAATAATTTCTAATTGATTGTTAAAATATTTTCTCACCAAACTTCAAACGTAGAACTGGTCCGTAGTGTTTGGATAACTTTACAACTTCTCTGTGATAGAGTGGGTTTGTATACACTAAAATGAAAATATCGATTATTATATAAATATATTGTTATTTATTATACATTTGTTATAAGAAATCATACATTAC